TTTGGAGAGCGTATCCTATTCTGACATGATGGACGCTACCGGAGACGAAAGTTGAGGTGGCTGTAACGGCTTCTGGCACCGAATGTCGGATTTCCATTCGACGAGAGATGGATGGTCCAGTCTACGGAACATTGATCACTATTAAATCGCATATACCGGTGGAAACGTATTACGGCGGTCGAACATATCGCAAGTACGATCTTCAGACTTAGCTAATCAACATCGAACTGTATTTCGTGAAAACGCTTTCATTGCTGATACGATACTCGATTAATAAATGGAAAAGTAGCTTCGCGTCGCGAAGCGAGAAGAAAGTTTGACAAGCTGCCGCATCGAAACAGCTGTCCATTATTTACATGTGGACGTATACGCTTAGGCGATGCGCGGAGTCTTCGGAGAGGCAAAAGTTGCGAGTCCGCGATGTTGGCGGCGAACCTGGCCATCAGGTCCGATTCGATAAAAGATGGATGATCCAACGTCGGCCGTATAGTCGATCGGTCTCCGAGCTGACGCCTCCGAAGATGAAATGCACCCTTGGCGACCCCAGAATCGACCCTAACACTCTAAGCCTCCCCCCCGTTTTTCACCCCTTACCTCCGCGCTCCATAACACTTTGCCAACCGAAGGCATATTTACGAGAGAAGCGCGTGCCCCGCGTCGGAACGTACCGCCGTCTACTGAATATACGCGATTTGGCATACAAATTCCGTCATATGTAACCCGGAAAAATGTTTATTGGCCTGACTAAAGGTTATTAGGTCCGGCCTTTAGTTGACCTCCCTGACGTAACCAGTCGCCTCACGTAGCTCCATGAATTGGATCCATCGAGTCGCATAGTCGAAAGTGAAAGCATAAGTCTTTTTTACAACCGACTATTCTGTACTTTGCATTCCACATGGCGCAGCGTGGAAGCATTATGTTTTCTTTGAAAAGTTACGATCAAAAATTATTACTTTAATAAAATACACTCGATTTTAATAAAACACACATAACTCGACATGAAATAAAAAAATATTTTTATAAATAATTAAGAATCCTGTATTTAATTTATGTGCATTCTTTCAGTCTATTATTATTATGACATTTTTAAATAAAGAATTTAGTGCATGTTCTAATGTCTACACTTATACTGAGCGAGATGTAATGATTTTGAGAGAAAGTGCTATGTCATGGAAGGCATCGAAACTTATAGGAATAATCGAAGAAACGACATTGAGAGAAAATGGACGAGGCCAGATGAAAACGGAGGACCATTGGTTTCCTCGCGTAGTTCCCAGTACGGCATACCAGGAAACAGCAGTACATTATTTCTTGATGTCAAATAAAGCAATTAGCATGTGCCCTGACCAGGGTCCGCAGGTTCTAACCCGAGTAATCTCGCCGGGGTCCCCGGCGTGTGCGACATCTTCATCAGGGAGGCGGACCCTCCTCTCTCTTCTCCTTTCTCCGCCACTTTCCATCCCGTCTCCCCTTGTGCCGGACGATGGCGCGGTCACGTGACTACTCTGCACCCCCAGAGACGAGGGATGCTGGATGCTGCGGAAGAGCGAGAACGCGGATCGACTAGAAGAAGATGGCGACCGTAAGGGCTGTAAGGGAGAGGGTTGGATGGGAGAGAAATCAAGGGGGCGAGAAGGTTGTGTCCACCGAGTGAAGGCGCTTCCAAGGGAAATTTCACAAAGGCTGACCCGCTGGTAATGAATGTTATATAACCCTTTTAATGCTTTAAGCCTCTTAGATTTTTCAGTGCGCTCTCGACGTGCGCGCTTCCTTCGCTTCCATCCTCCTTCTCCTGCTTCTCCTTTTCTCCCGTGGAGAGTGAGCCGGAGGTAGTTCGCGACGAGCGGCAGAGGAGGTGAGCGAAGGGGAGTCGTGCCTTGGGGTAGGTAATTATGTGGCGGACGTAAATTAAGCTTGTTTAGATTGGGATTTTTATTAAGGTCTTTTATGAAAGAGTGCCGCCACTAAATGGCGCACGGTATACACTCCGACACTGGTACTCCTTTAAACGCCTCTGGAAAAAACCCTTGATACGTTTATTTCATGAGTAGTGCTTGTGACAATGAAATTTAAAAATCACGTTTGTCAGATATTTTTTATGAAACTATATTTTAACACTCAATTAATGTATAATTTTTAACGGTGCGTATTATTATACATATAAATATATTAAGCTATTGAATTACTGACAAACTGTATTCAACTACAATCTTTCTCAACAGATTTTAAAAGTGTAAAGTGAATTTTTTCCTGTATTTAAAGATTTTTAACAAGAATAGAATACATGGGATATTTAATAATTTTTGTAACATTGCAGTAATTGTGAAATACGGAAAGCAACGATCCGAAAGAAACTTTGGACGCCAAATTTCCGCAGGACCATCCCCAAAGAAGCCGTAAGCAACGATCAGGAGATATATCTAATAGCAGTAGGACGTACGCACTAAGGAACAAATAAGTAAGGATTAGTTTAATAGTGTTTTAGGAGTCGAACGTTACGAGTTTATGTCACTGTTCCCTTTTTCGAGGGTAAGAAAAAGCTATAGCTCGTATACGAGCAAATTTACGAACCAGCGATAGTGCGTAAAGAAATTCAATTGACATATCAAAGCATATACTTTTCCTATATATAAATTCACCCTCGCTAATAAATTTTAAGTGGATATAATTTATAATTTTAAGTAGTTATTCATTATCTCATTCTTTAAAAATAGATAATTCTAATTGTTAGTCTTTCTCAAAATTCATAACATAATATTTTTATATAATTAATATTACTATAATAATTCTAGCGTACTATAAAAATAAATTTCAGAAACAAGCATAGAAAAATATTAAATTTCTGAGTATTGTGTATCGCTTTAATCTCTTCGATTCTCATACATCGTATGTGGGCATGTTAATTCCGACATGTCCGTAACGAGCAGAGCGCTACGTCAAACAGCTAACTGCTTTCGCACGAAGGCACCGGGAGCGAACTTCGAGAAGCAGTTCGCAGGTACAGACCGTTAGCTATACCCAGTGTATATGTATACCTCCGAGCCGGGGTAAGCAGAGAACGAAGTTCTCGGTGGAAGTTTAATTCAACTGGACGGGCAGCCGGGTGTAAACGCTGAATGATTTGTTGCAAATCGAAAGCACCTCACCCCGCGCGCTCGAACTCGAGCTCGAACTTCAACTTCCTGCTTGCACTTATCACGGTATATTTTATGTAATATTGTATCGTGGCTGTATCGATTATCGAGCGGGTATCAATATATTAATATTTTAGAAGGAGGAAATGCCGAGAAGTATATAAATGCAATCTCTCTTTTATGTATGATGTGATATTTTCTTTAATTAAAATATCTTTTTATAATCTGATTCAATTGAATTGACATTTGCGAAGAGTTATACACGAGATATAAATATAGTCTTTTCTCATACTTAGAAGTAAAGTTTTATACAGCCGAGTAATCTACTCTATTCTTAGTGCTTGCTAAGTTTTATTTTTCATTGAGAATAGACTTGTTCTATTATTGAACACATTATGATAACATTATAAAATATATAATATATAATAATGAATATGTAATAAAGAAAGTTACTCGAAATTATCTAAAAATCACTATAATACCATACTCGCGTTTTTCGTCTATATAATATATTAATAAATTAATTAATAATTAGAGAAGTGCACAGCAATTATCGCAGACTGTTTGAACATTTTTTTCGTTCGAAGTGACGGTTGGCTGGTTGAGTATCGAACATTGAGATCCAACGTCAATTTTCTCTAGTAGTTTCGCGAGGCCGGGCATGCTTGTTCGTTCTCTCGATTAGGCTTTGCCGTCATTAAAAGTTTATAAAGAAGCTGAGGTACGAAACGGGCAACGATGTACGGGTGAGACGAAGAAGGTGGTAGGTGATGGTTCAGCACCCCCAGAACGAAGATGGTAGAGAGAAACCAGCACGGAGCAAAAGAGAAGGTAAATGGGAAAGAGAAAGATAGAGAAGGAGGGATGAAGAGAGATTCTCTCCAAGCAAGTTTTCTCATGTGCAATGCATAATGAGGAAAGCCAGACGGCGCATAAAAGGCCTACAAATGAGGCTTAAGTTATATATATATATATATATATATATATATATATATATATAAGTAAATATATGTAACTTACACGTCGATGTAAATGACTCTCTCGACGAGATCAATCAATCTCGACAAATGTTTTTTTAAAAATTACGTTGTATTATTTATCTTTAAAAAAGAACAAAATATCTTAATAATAAGCCAATATAATTATTAATTTGTAAGTTGCATAATTGGAACGATATTAATATTTTGTCAAAATTGAATAATCGACTCAAAATTGAAAAATCAACGTTATCTAATAATAATTTTACACTTCTTCGATTTAATATTATTTTGTTTTTATTATTTATGAGTAAAGTTATTTAATAATATCTTAGTAAATAAAAATTTGAAAGCATACATATGTGAAAAAATACATTTTAAAATTGAAGATTTAAAATTTAGCGTTTAAATAGTAATTAATTCGAAAAAAGCAAGATGTGCGCATAATAAAATGTAATACATATTCTCAAGTATATCATGATTCTCGGTACGCAATAGCATAAAGTGCTCGTATAAGATTTCCTTGATCGGTGAGTACAGACGTTAACTAAAGATATGAACACGCAATGTTAGAGTCGTGGCGCACGAAAACCAATTAAAGGTGTTAGATCGATCCTCCCTAGTAACTGACTTGCTAGGCACTTCGATGAAAGATGCAAATCCTCGCTTATGATGCTATATGTTCCTTTATCCAATTACTTCGTATTAAAGCGAGATATTTCATATTAAAACGATTTGAGATAATTATTAATTGAGATAATTATTAAATCATCAATGATTCTCTCGATATTACATATCACTTGCATGTATGCTTTGCTATAATTATAATAATCCTTTTATGCTCAAACAAAAAAGGATATTAAATACGTATTCAAATCATATAACTTACCTTGTTCATGATTTGGCGGGGATATTCCCGCCTCGCAAGGGACGGCTCTGTAACAAAAGAAAAAGATACTAGTTACTTTTCTAAAATTACAAAATGTATTAAATATTTGTAAAATTTATAGTTAAACTAATACACTTTATCGCATGTGTGTGTGTTATTTTGCATGTACTATATATTTCCTTTTTGCTTTTTTCAACGTAAATTCAACGTAAATTCTATTTGCATATATTTTTTGACATATCACGAATATTATAAGAGAGATTATATTCGGCAAATGTGATTTTTTTATTCAATTGTGTTGTATACAATGTTAGATAAAAATAAAAAATATTTCAACGCGAATATAATGCTGAAGATATTTATTTTTTTTTGCGCTGGGCGTGTGCGTTTTGAATCTCATCGGCGCGCCTTGTGACCTAAACTAATGCACGTAGGGTGGTCCTCGATCGTGCAGCCGAGCTCCAGCCCTTCCTCTCCTTACCCTTCGACGAGTACCACCGAATTCCCATAATCTAATGAATGGCCTAACCCCAATATCCTCTCGGTTCAGCCCCACCGCCGCTTACCCTCCATATACTATTCTATATATATTATATATCACGCATGTAAATATTCTTGCTGCCCGTGCGTGCAAATTTAAGTTGCTTAAAATTCTGTGTCCGCTATAATTAATGATTTCGAAGCAATCACGACTATACAACAATCACACTACCATTTTCACTCATAATTTTCTCTTAAACTTTGTCAGGATAATTTTCGGCATTCTTCAAATTATACTTAGCACGATTTTTACATCGCATAGAAAAAAATTCCGCGGTGAATATCATAAATAAAACTCAACGAAATCGAATTGATAATTTTATTATCATAAATTACATAGTCGGCATTAAATTAATATAAAATAATATCAAATTTATGTAAAAGCAGCTACAAAAGTTTATTAAAAATCTTGAATAGATGCGACGAGAAAAAGTGTAAATTAACATGAGAAAATTCGTGGAAATTAATAATCTAGAATATTTTTGAGAAACGCCAAACTGGATTTTCGCGGAAACGAATAAAAACTATTTGCGGAAGAAATAATTTCCAAGGCGTATGAACGAAGAAATATGAACGAGGGCTCGCGATGTTGCTAATTGCGCGTTAAATAGGGACGAAGTCGACGGCGAAATTCTTTCGTCCAGAAAATGGACCGGACGCAAGCCGGCGTTGATTCCCGCGCGGAGGAGTAAAGACGCGCAAATGTGTTTATCTCGGGGAATAATAAAAAGGGTGGCTCCGACATTCGTGACGCCGAGCGATCGCAACGAAGTCGGGAATAATGTCTCGGACACCAGGCTCGTCTGTGGATTTGCTCTGGCCTCCATCGCCCAACCATCCACCCTACACTCCCCCTTTCGACCTCCTCCGACCTACCCTTATACGCGTGTCCGCCGCAGATTCAGACTCCTAATTAAGACGAGGGTGCGAGAGGGGTTTTAGAGGTTCTGCTGGGTTCTCCCCCGAGGGGGCGGGGGCGTAGGTAGCGGGTGTATGGATGGAAGGAGGGTTTTCCCGAGGTAAGGGGCACCCGTATCGTGCCGGAGGGGTAAGCCAAGGCAAAGGGGGTAAGGAATATTGATCACGGGACCACCACGGCGGCGAGGCAGGGACTGCCCGCACTCGCCCTCTGCTTTCATCCGCCCATCCCCTCGCCATCCAGCTCCAGCTTTCTCTCATCTCTCTCTCTCTCCCTCTTTCCCCTTTTCTCTCTTTCTCTCTCTCTCTCTCTCTCTGTTCCACCAACTTATATGTCTCTCACCTTCTCTCTTGTTTCCGACATCTTTCGCTGATCCTCTCGTTTTGAAGACGGCACGGACCGGGCCAGACTAAACCACCAAACGCCAGATGCGTGAAATCAGTCGGTTAGAATTTGCCCCGCAGCCTTTGCAAATTATTGACGCTGAAACCGCGAGGTATATGATGCCTGCACACTGTTTCGAAGTGGACTTTGAATAAAGAGAGTCAGTAAGTCCAACGCTGATAAGGTAAAAGAGCTTTTAAGAAGAAACTTATAATTTTACAGATAATTATTCCGTTGGATCAAACGCGGCATGTAATGCTTTCGTTATAATATTTAAGTGTAAAAATATTGCTTATATAAATTCTTCTCAACATTTTGTGTTATAATAAATTCATATAGTATACGATGAGTCTTTCATCTCTATGCCATTTAATCATACGTCTCGCTAACTTGGAAATGTCTCCACGTCGTGACAAGGTTTACGAAAGTCGCAATAAGACATGGCCCTCTTGAAGGGAATTTCTGGCGCTGGAAATCCGAGTAGCCTGACGAACTTTGACGCACACGCTCGGCCGAACAAGATCTACGTTCTAGACGTGTGCAGCGTTCTCACGAGTTTTCGAGAGAGATCCTCTCGAATGGTGTAGAGAAGGGAAGACCGACTTGACTCGTTTCAGAAACGAGGATAGAAAACGAGGTAGGGGGAAGGGCCAAGGGAGACTAGGGGGCCAACGGGTGAGCTCGAGTTTACACGACGTAGCGACTCGTCTTTCTACCCGTCGCCTTGCCTTAATTAAATCTCTAGACCCTTCCTGAAGAACCCGCGGACCTGGCAGGAAACTAGAAGAACCGCCTTCTCCTCTCGCTCTACAATTCACTGCGGTAACACGTCGTCTTCCATTGGTCCTCCTTACGTTGCCGCGAGAAATGCGCAAACTACGTACGATATATACTGACTTTTCATCTATCTACTTATTTTATCAGCTCGTTTTCGCTATTATTTTCGCTTATTTTTTACACATTATTTTTATTTCTCTAATAAATTATTTTATTTTTATAATAAATAATAAATATAAATGTGATAGATTGTATTTTTCATTATATGTTAAAAATATTATTACTGGAAATAAGATAACATTGCTGGTTTTTCGAAAAAATAAACTTGTAATATATTATACAAAGCGATTTTTAATTACATTTAATTACATCAATTTAAAAGTAAACAATAAAATATTATCCTGTGTAAAATAAAAAGCTTCATCAATTAAATAGAAAAAAATTGTAAATTAATTCATGCGATAATGTAAACGTTTCTATGGTGATTTAATTTATGCAAAGGTGATTTACTTTATGCAAAGAGAAAGTTTTGGTAGACAAATTATTACTGTTCCATAAATTCTCAATATTCTCGATATCCACGAAAGCAATTCGCTCGAAGCGGCAAATTTCTACAGCATTTTCTCATACACTCGGTCGCCATTCCAGTGGCTTCAGATACCGTTATTCAACGTTGTAACGAACGTCAAGGGCGACCTCGACGAGACCGGAAGAGACCTCATTGTCCAGAGGCGGGGGCGCCGATAGGAGGGTGCGCAGCAGCGGCAGGCAGCCAACTCAAACTTTGATATGGTTTCCTAAATAACCAAGGCGACCGATACCGCAGCACGATAGTCCTCCTCTTCCTCCACCCTTCCCAACCCCCGCCATCCACCCGTTCACCGCCTAGACCGATCTGCGGTGGTCCGGAGAGGGTACTGTAACTACCGTCGAAGCATATTGAAACCCTCGCACCAACGGTGACCTGACTCGCCACCCCAGGCAATCCCCACCCTTCGCCAACCCGCGATCCGTCGTTCAAGACCGATACAAGGCTGCCGTCCATGCAAAACCTGCGGCATGAGTGCGTTTGTCGTTTCGTGAGTAAACGTTACTAACGCAAGCGGTAGCACCAACGTTTTCATAATGTCGCAAGTAGCGGTTAATCTGCCTGTAGAGTGACAGGTAATCTGCAAGAGGACTGCGTGAAGAGGGAAAAGGAACAAAGATTGCGAAAGCAGCGATTCCAAAGTCGATCATATTACGGTAAGCGGAACATTATAAAGTACCGTACGAACAACAAGAATAAGTAATAATATGATTGGTATGACACGGTTACTGGATGCAAGAAAAAAATATAAAGACAGTGAAATGAAATATTATTCGTGCAACAAGAGTTTCAAACAAAAAATCAATAATTCGTCTTATATATATTATAAAATACATTCTTGCATTGTTTCTTCGTGCAGAAAATATTCTTTATTTATATTGAAATTTTTATTGATCCTCTAATAACAAAATTATGGACAATACGTTTAAATTAACAACTCTTGATGTATATATCTATCCTTAATTTTGCAGTTTAAGTAGATAAAATCAGATAAAAAATTAACGTGTAAGTAGGCATTTAGTTTACAATTTCTTTTCTACAGGCTACCAATAGACGATGCCAGAGGCCGGTTGTTTGTCCGCTAATTAGAAGCTAACAGCAGAACTAAAGTTTCGAACTTTAAAGTTTCTTGCACTCGCGCGGAAGCCTCTTGTTACCCATTCAATACTTCCTTTTTGAGGGTGGTAGAACAGCCACCCTTTAAGAACGCCCTATCCACCTGCAGAACCGTCCACCTGTCTTTCTCTTGACCTGTCCCTCTCTCTCTCTATCCTCTTTGCTTCGAGCAGCGTTAATTACTAATTAATTGTTTCGCGTGTTTGAGTTTTAAATGGATAAGTTAAACAGCGCGTAAGAGGTCCAGACGTGATATAACGGCAGCCCACCCTTCTTTTTCCCTCTGTCCGTTCCTCTCGCTTCGCGTACGATTACCGTACAAACAGTGTACTACCGGTTAACGAAGTTAGGATGACCGTGTTAGGTTGAGGAGAAGGGGAGCAACGCTCGTTCGTTTATTCGTTTTTCACCCCGTCATCAGAACGCCACGTCTCGCTTCGTGCCTCACGACGTAATATCTCCATCACGACGCTGAACCATCGTTCAAAGTTACCCCCGATTCGAATACGAGGATGCAACTTTAATATCGTCGTCAGAAGTTGTAGCTAGTTCTCATAATCGCATAATAAAATATAGATTTTACAGTTTCGACGCAGACACAAAAAGAGATATAGAGAGGAAAATTTTATAAAAATGTTTTATGTCTACTTCATATATGCCATATTTTATTTTATTTAATATCGTTTTAACGCACAACTCTTCGCAAATGAGCCTTTCCATCA